TTTTTTTTTTTTTTTTTTTTTCTCTCAATCGATTCATCGATTCAATTTTCTCTCGCTCTCTCTCTCTCTCTGTAGATGGAAGCGTTAGGTTCTTACCCGATCAGTTTCGGTTCCGGTAGGGTTCCGACCACGAGCGACGGCGATGAGTCGAAGAGGCGTCCGAATAGGAGGAGAGCGTTCCAGGCCGCGGGCGATTGGCTGAGGCGGAGATCCACGGCGGCGAAGATCGGTCTTGCGGTGGCGGCGGCGGTGGCTGCGATGTTTGTTTTGAAGCACACTGTTACGAATCATAATTACTTGTTCATCGCGAGTGAAACCATTCACGCGGCTGGTCTTCTCATCCTCGCTTATAAACTCACCACTCATAAAACCTGCTCCGGCGAGTTCCTCTCCCTCTCTACTTTTTTTTATTATATAATATTTTTTCCACAAAATAAATTAAATTAAATATTTTATTTATTTATTTTTATTTAGTATTATTTACAATAAAATGGTTAATTTTGATTAATATTAGGGTTTTGTTGTTCTTATACTCGGATTTTATAATGAAATTAGGTCTGTCTTCAAAAAGTCAAGAACTCACGGCTTTATTCTTATCGGTACGATTGATTTTCGGGTCAATTATGGAGGTTGATGTATACACATTTTTGGACTCCATTAATTTCATCACCACGATTTGGGTCATCTATATGATCCGCTTCAAGTTGAAAAATACATATAACAAAACCCTTGATAACTTCCGTTTGTATTATGTGGTAATTTTTTCTCTTCTCTTCTTTCTAATTGCATCGACTTATACATTATCGATGAAATTCATTAGTTATTATCTGTTGTGATTGTGTGTTAAACAGGTCGTACCGTCGATGGCGCTTTCGTTATTTATCTTTCCCCATGTCCACTATAATGCCGTGGTTCGTGTGTTGTGGGCATTTGGCGTGTATGTTGAATCGTTTTCAATGTTGCCTCAGCTTCTAATGATGCAAAACGCTAAGGTTTCATTTTTATTTCATTCTCATGAGTTTATTAAATGATTTTTTATTTATTATTATTATTATTATTATTTTTTTTTTAGATGATCGAGCCTTTCACCGCACATTATGTGTTTGCTATGGGGATTTCCAGATTCTTAGCTTTTGCTTATTGGGTCATTCAGGTAAGAAAATTTCAAACTGACACAATATCTACCATTAAAGAGTGTGAATAGATCTGAAGATATTATTGTTTAAAGAAAGCAGAGTTAGAAAGGAAAATATAAACTAACTAAATTGAGAATAAGATAAAATATACTCACAAGAAAAAACATTAACAAATATCTAAGATATATTTCATAACTAATTGATTACGAATATCTTAACTAATTCAAACTAGCAATGCACTCAATTCTTACACATTTCAGAAAATTTCCCATTCCGAATTTTTAGTCCTTATCCTTTGGTTGATGACCATTTTTTATGTGTTTTTTTTTAATGGAATGAAATTTGTGTTTAGGTTTACGAGACTCGTGGGCGCTATTTGCTATTGGTTGGCCACGGTTATTTTTGGTTTATGGCTGCTTTCATCGCTGAAATGATTCAATCGTTTATCTTATCTGACTTTTGCTATTACTATGCCAAAAGGTAAAGTCTCATTCGTTTCCTCTATCAAAATTCATTTAAAAAAAAAAAAAAATCATAACTAATTTCATGTCCTATCTCTCAAACTTTGATTTTGTTTAAAATTAATTTGGATTTATATGTTTCTAATTCTATTTTATGGTCTTGAATTGCAGTGTGATGCAAGGAAAGTTGAGGATGCCGGTTTAGAGTATATTTTTTCTCAAAAAAAAATTAATAAACAATATGCGTTGTTATGAATGTTTCTATGCATTTTAATTTTACCTTTGGATGGATAGCTGGTTCTTGTTCATACCCTCGTGTTATATCTCGTTTAAATTTAATAATGTATTATTGTAACGATTCGAATTATTAAATTCAATGTTACAGAATGTTACAGAATCGTTGCTTCATATATGAAAAACTTTCTACCCATCAATATTTTACAAAATTATTTTAATTATAAGAAATCAATAGTAATTTATTTAAATATCTATTTAATTTATTTGACAAAAAAATTATTAAATATTATTTAATTTATTTTGACAAAAAAAAATATTAAATAAATTAATTACTGATTTTATTATCTAAAATTAAATAATATAACAAAATTGTTAAAAATACACTCTTTATTTTTTATTAACAACACTAAATACAATTATTTAATTTATAAAACTCTTATTATTTTTTTTTTGTCCTCTTTAATTTAGGAAAAGAAATAACTCGAAATACGAAGAAGAAAAGAAAAAACGGAAATCGACGTGGCCACTCCAGCACCGTCGAATCCACATCCTTTGTCCACGTCTCTTATGAAGTCACGTGGCACCTAAACAAGATAGTTCCACGCGCCGCGTTGAAGAAAAAGAACCCCACAGAATTATTCGTCACCGTACTCTTACCCCGTCTTATCCAAACAAAACCAGCCACGTGTCTGACAGCGTGTCATAACCAATCAAAAAAGTTGGCGTCCTTAGCTGTCATATCATCACGTGTCATCAGAGTGGGACCCATAAAAACGATATACATGTGTTCATAGTCTACATGGTTAAGCTGATCTCGCGGCATGAGATTTTAACGTGGAAAGAGAGATTCGTGGGGACGGGAAAATCACCCCGCCACGTGTTCTTCTTCGCCAGCCTGTCAGACAGTCCTGCCTTTTCCCGCTAAAAATCCGACACGTGGCGTCCACATACCTCTCTCCAATAATTTATTATTCGAAAACCTTAGATTAGGATCAAATAATCATAATAAATATATTATAATAAAAAATAATTAAAATTAAGATTACCAAATTTTAATGGCGATGCTCTAAAAATATCTCTCTGATTATATCCTTTCGTCTTGCTTTCTTCTTCCTTCCTCCAACCCCACCGCCGTCCTTACCTCCTCCATGGCCGACACGTCACCCCTTCTCCATTCCCCGAGAATCACTCCGTCCAATCCATATAACCCAATCCCGCATTCCCACATTTGTAATCTTCTTTTTCTGCTGCGATTCTCTTCATCTTTGTTCTTCGATTTTGTGAGAAGATGAAATCTGTGGTCTTAACAGATGAAAACAACAACGACGTAGACGTCGATTTAGCGTTGTCAATCGGCGGAGTTTTTAGAACCTTACCGGAGAAATCGACGGCGTCTGGTTCTTCCTTCACGTTGTGGACTAGCGATGTAGACGAGGAGGATAGCGGAGTTACTGATGCCAAGAACAGAGGCCAGATCCGGCGACGAGAGACCAAGAGGAAACGAGACGAGGAAGACGAACGGAATCCGCCATTGAAGAGGGAGAAGAAACTTCAAGGCGTTGGATATGAATGTCGAAATGGATCTGCAGAGCTAATGCCGTATCCTTACTCGTCGTTGCAGTACGTGCCGTTTATGAATGGCTTCGTTTTCCCCTGTGTGGTGCCGTACTGGGCGGCGGCTGGCCACGGCGGTGAGAGAACCGTCCATCAGCCGGTAGCTTGCCGGAGCTTCAGGCCGTTTGAGACGGATCGAAGAGGTTCAGACGGATTTTCGAATGGAAGGAAGAACAGGAAAACTGGGTCTTGTGGATCATCCCCTGTTTGCAGTTCCTCTGTTATTTCTGATAATTACCAGAGTTCATCTCATGAAGGTGCCTGCAAATCTTGTGTTTCTCAGAATGTGTCAATCCTCGATCATTGATTTCCTTTTCATGAGTATGGTTCTTTTTTTTTCCCTCTCAGAATTGAGATTTTACTCTGTTGTTCATTTTCTATCAGGAGGTGGTAGCAGCTATACCAGAAACAATTCATGTAATTCCTCATCAGATCGACACCAAATGCGATGTCCGAACCCGAAACCGAATACGAATGGTTCTGTGAATCATGATAAACCAAAGCCTTGCAGTGAGAACGGGACACAATGTGAAGAGAAATCTGGTGAATCCCATGTCCACAAGAAAGAGCCAATCACTGCATCGAGCAACAAATCTGTTTTCAATTCCCAGAGGTCTCCTTCCATGTCAATAAAGAACATGAAGATGGAGAATGAGGAACTTCCAAAGCCTCAAATTCTAGGCCGGAATGTGCCAAGCCTTCAGCAAATGCCCTACGTTTCGACGACCGGAGTTGGTCCCAACGGCAAAACCATCACTGGATTCTTGTACAGATACTCCAACTTGGAGGTCAGTATTTTGTGCGTCTGCCATGGAGAATCCTTTTCACCGGCCGAGTTCGTCAAGCACGCCGGGGGCGAAGAAATTTCTCACCCTTTGAGACACATTAGTGTTCTTCCTACTAATGGAATACCATCTGCAATCAGATGAAAGCATTTGATCTTAGATCATAACAGCTTAACGTGTTTTTTTTATATTGAAACCTTGGGGCAGGAGAGGATCTGTAGCGAAGTACTTCAACGTCTTATTTGAGGGCTCTTTCAGGCCCCAAATCTTTTGGCTTTGTGCATATTTTTAGAACATTTTCCAAGGCATTCAGATATAGAGTTTCAACTATTACATATAGAGACTAGTTCCAATGCTAATATCATTCTAATGTTCTATTGGGGTTGAAACTATTTTTTAATCATTATCTAAGTTGTCGAAGTACCTCATATGATATTGTTCTAAACAGATAGTCACCATCACTCGAACTCATTGATGTCGATCCTCCAGAATATTAGAGCTCTAGAAAAAAGGGAATGTATCAGTATTTGATATAGTTTTCAACCTTATAACAAGAAATAAGAATTGAATTATACTCCGATTCCCACCACCATCGCTCCAATGTAAAAAGATCATTAATTTTTTCGCAAAGCTGTGATGTCATAGAGACGAATACCAAACTCATGAGGGGTTTCAATTAAATGAAAGCAGAGTGAGCTCGAAAAATTAATAAAACATCGACTTATTTGTAATGGTTCCTTTGCTTCATACACTAACAAAATAGAAATAATACAACAATAGTGGAACCTGATTACTGATTGACGCCATGATAGACAATACACAATTTGACGCAACAACAATTACAATAAAGGCTAACAAAATTGTTTGCGTGATCATGGCTGCAGGATTACCGCCAAGTCTCGCAATGTGGGAGCTGCATTGTTCCATCAGTTAGGCCAAGACAACCTCCATGAATCTGTGTCTACTTCTGCCATTTTCTAATTCACAACTTCTTCTTTGGTCTAGAATCAGCCTTCGGCCGCGACCTAGAAAAGGGAGAGAGGGAGGGGGGGAAAGATGAGAGATATGAGATTCACGTAGGCTTTACAAATTGGGAAAAACAGCACTAACTTAAAAGCTATAAATATTATAGAAAATAAAATGGAATGAACATAATTCATACAATGAAGGAAGGTAGCAAAAAATAAAAAGATGTAGGCCAGGAGAAAGTAAATTATTCCGTCAAAACTCCTATCTACTACTGTATTTCAGAAACACGGAAAGAAAAGAAACCAGCTCTAATTAGAGAGTGAAAGTATAACAACATGGAGTGCAAAGCAAAAACATTTCGAACAGGCATCATCTTATTGATTTACAACGTATCTAATGCATCAGCGTAACCATGAAAGTTTATATGAATAAGGCTTTATGAAAACCACAAGGAAAATGTAGTTGTTTTTTATTTCCTTTTTTTCTCTTCTAATTATCAAAAATAAAAAACCAATACGAGAGCAAAGAATTCAAGCGATAGCATTTGAAATAATAAATCAAGAAATATTAAGAAAATAAAATGGCTTGAATCCAATCATGACAGGAAAGTGGCAGAAAGGGGAAAGAAAAAAAAAAGTCTGTTGTTCCAGGTAAAATTGGACCATACGGACAAGCACAAAGACCACGAAAGTCAAGGACCAAATGAGATTAAAAAATCCAACACAGTGAAAAACAAGCTAAAGATGAAGAAAGTCGGGTCACAGCCACTAATCAAAAGAAAGAAAAGAAACTTGGGCAGAAGCCAAGTTTCCTTATTAGCACCCGAGTCCGACATTCCCGGATTCGTGTGATCCTAGTCCCGCCCAATAATTCCAATCCTCTTTTACCCTAACCCAGAAAGAATCAACAAAACTGGGGATATAATCACTTTCTTCTATTAGGAGAAGGAAAGCCAACTAAGTCCAAAGTTCTTCCAATTCCTAAAGTTCTTGCTAAACTAAATTTCTCCTAGCTAACTTAACCATTAGACATGTGGCAAGCACCACACCAATATGAAAGCTTTTCTTGTCTTCCATGCTGCATTTTTTCCCCTTGAACAAATTTTACCATTGTCATGTGAAGGTTAGGTGCACTACCTAGTAAGGATTTTGGCAACGCCTATCCAGTACTATAACTTAGAAACTTAGTATGGAAAGAAACCAGCTCAAATTAGAGAATGAAAGATTAATGATATGAACGCCCATTCTGGCGTTCAAGGTCAAAAAAATATTAGAAACAGGCAAGATCTCATTGATATCTAATGCATCGGTACCAAGTTTATATGGAAACCATGATGGCTGAAAATATCTTTTTTTTTTAAAGAAAATATATCTATGCAAAAGTTACAAAATAGCAATGCAATAAATAATGAGATATTTGACATGAACCCCCATTTTTTGTAAAAGTTGTCAAAGGTATTAATCCCTCCACCTCAAATGTTATTGAACTAATAATAATAATTATAATAATATGATGTTTTGCTATGCTTGCAAATAAAGAGCAGCAACTTGTAGTTAGTACCAACCTTTTTCCAGGTTTCTTCCTTCTTTCACAACAGATGCTTGCCATTATATCATCAATTGACAAAACTTTCTCAAGACTGCTGTCTAATAAGTTGGACCCATTTAAGGCAGAAAATTGAGACTGATCTGGGACACCTGACACACTAAGTTGTCCTTTAAGATGCTCCATCAAAATAAACCCTGCATGGATAGCGCCGTAAATGCAAAATTAGTTAGATAGTGCCATAAATGCAAAATTGTTCAGCAACTAATATAGTAGATAGCACATAGAAAGCAACACGGTGTCCGTACACTAGGGATGCTAGAGAGGTGAGAGTTTACACTAGCATTCTAGCAATGATAAGATAATTAGAAGAAACATAAATACAAGAAATACAGCACAGAAAGTAGAAATACCTATAGCACGTAGTGTCTTCAGATCAAATTTCTCAGCTAGATCTTCATGGCCAATTACTTTTGCTCGCTGGAGAACTAGCATTTTAATGCTAATCAGAAAGTCCTGCCACATACATCATATATAGAAACAATAAGCATATGATCCGAACCAAACAGCTCATACTGAATGTACCTTTGAATTTGACAGTACATGGAAATCCTAATACAGATCGTCGTCCATTTTTATCAAAATCAAGTAAAAGACATTAATCCTTTCAAATAAAATTCATAGGAAAAAATATAAAAATTCGCGTGGCTATTCAACAACCACAAGAAGAATGCTCGATATTTGTAAGAAAAGCTTACACCATAAAATGAGTCGGTGTCTAATACAAAAAATTCCAGATGGAACTTACAAGCTCTGATTCAGATAACGAGCAAAGCCAACTGATATCTTCAATTCTGTTATCCTTCAAAATTTCTTTCGCCTCTTCCATAGAAATCTTCCACTAAATTACTCCAGAAAAAGTGCGGAACGTATAGATTCCGCGAAAACTTCAATGATTAAACAGCCTACATTAGGAAACATTAAAGGAAACAACGGTCAACACGAGAAGCAACTTTCCTTAACTTCCTCCGATCTCCTTCCCTAAATGCAAACAGAAATACAAGAAACCTAATGTCAGGTGCTCACCTTAATTTGGCGAGGACTTCGAGTCGCCCTAACTCTCCACTTTAATTCCACTTCGTAGCAACCTCTTTCTATCTCCCGTTCGCAAAATTTTCCTCAATTCCTCCGTCTTCTTTGCGAATCGCAAATCTAAGTCCGTACCCCTCAGCTTCTTTTCTCTGAATTCTGATAATCAAACCTCCCGCGCCGTCGCCTTGGCTCGAATCCGGCGAAGCGACGGCGAGGAGTTCGTCGGGGGAGTAGGGCAGAGTTGAGTTGATCAAAGAAATTAGGTTTTCAACAGGACGTTGGATTGGACTCCCTCGTTTTGTACTCTCGTTTGATTTCTTCAACGTCTAATTGTTTTCAATTATATATAGTTTTATATATTAAAAAAAAAAAAAAAAGTTTTCGGTTTTGAACAAGGTTTTGGATTGGACTCCTTATTTTTGGGCTCTTATACTAGTGATATATGGGCCGACATGAGTTGGCCTTTTAGGCCCATAAACTATTTTCATCTATTTTTTTTAAAATTGTTGGGTTTAATTTTATAAAAAGAAATTAGTTTAACCACGTTGGGGAGTGCTTGATCAATAATATATCCTAATTTTATGAGATTTAATTAGTTGTTAATTAAAAAATAAATAATATTTTCTAGAGTGTGGATTTAGGTGGGTGTAAAAGTAAGAAAAGTGAAAGGTGAAAAAGGAAATTAAAGGATGATTCTTGCTAGAATAATTTCAAGATTCAACAAATCTTTTTAACTTTTTAGATTAACAATAATAAAGTAACTTTCAGAATCCACCATTAACAATAAATACATATCAATATAGATATTTTTCGTTCATCCGGCTAAAACATATCCCTAGCAGTCGCATTTTAAAATTATGAAGTTGATTACGATATATAACGAGTTATCGGGCTAGACCCTCCTATAGTATACGCGTTTTAGAATAATAAGGCTGACAAAAATACGTAACGAACCAAAGTGGACAATATCTACTGACAATCAGCTTTGGTTGTTACAAATGGTATCAGGTCCAGTCACTGAAAATGTGTGAGATACTAATCGAGTAGGGCTAGATTCTCTCCATTTTAAAACTGTGAAAGTGACAACAATACGTAACGAGCTAAAACGAATAATATCTACTACCAGTATGGTAATAGAGCCAATCACTAGATGATGCAAGCCACTGATCGGAGTAAAACTAGATCTTCAGTATAAACCCTAACAAAGGGGACAATATCTAACTAGAATATGGTATAAGAGCCAATCAAGTTTGGAATTAGAATATACTGTGATGATGAATTAAAATATGTACCTTCACTGTCTGAACAGATGAATCAGAAGGGGGGGAAACCTCACACCCAAAAAACAAGGAGATGAAAATGGAGAATTGTGATGATGATGAACAGAGAAGAAGAAGAAGAAGAAACCGCCATTAACAGTGTAGAATGAAGAACCAGAACCAAAACCAAAACCCTAAAACAATGGATCAATGGATCAATGGACTGATCTCTTTCTACTTCCATGTCTACTCAACCATCCAAATCCCTTCAAAGCTTTCGACATTTTGACGAGATTAGGTCTCCCCATTCCCAAATTCATCTTCCCCGCCGAGAATTTCAGAGCCTGTAAACAGCAAAGTTGCCCTTCTCGATCTTCATATTCATCTTCATCTTCATCTTCCTCTTTGCCTTTAATTTTCTTCCCTTTCTTCGATTTCCCGTTGATT